GAGCGGGAGTCGCGTCCCCCCTCGCGCTCCCTTCCCCTAGAGCCGTCACCACCCGTCTGATACTATTTCTCCTGCGTTTCGCGCTCTTAATTTATAGAACCCCTGTAAAACACTGGACTCCAAAGGAGCAGTCGTGTCCTCATACATTGGTAGCAATAGCCATTTGTCTCAGGGACGTTTTCCCCTCTCCCTTTCCCTTCTCCCTCCCCGATAGGAACTGCACTTTCAACTACGGAAACTTGAAAACGAATTTAGTTCTCCCCCATTTTTTTTAAAAGTGCACAATGACTTTTGCCTGCAAGAATGCTATATTTGATGTATTTTTTCCTCCCCACGAGAGTGTAAAAAGTTTTGAGTATTTTTTTTCTGTTTAATTTACTCTTTGTATATCTTGGAATGAGATTTGATGTATCCAAAAATCTAGAACCCTCTGGAAAGATACAACAAACGCGAGGGAAAAAAAAAAGAAAAAAAAAGCAACTCTTCTACCACTTTGCACTATCGCTGTTGTACAGGGTTCTGCACGCGACTCGGGTGTTGCTAGTCCTGGGGAGAGAGGGTTGTGCTATCGGCGACAACGAGATCAGGGGACGTCTGACCTCGGCCACCTTGGGCAATAGTCCTTGTCGCACGAGGTGTGAACGTGCACGGGAACAAGGCTGCGGAGTGGGACAGCAGCTCTTGGCTCCCCCCGACACTGATGGACGGACGGGTATTTATTGTACGTCTCGATAGCCTCAAGTCTTGAAATGAGCAGCCGGGTTCCCTGTGCCCCCACGTCCCTAGGCTTATCGGAGCCCGATAAAACATTATTTAACCACAGTTAAGTGTTTCCCTTCCATCCCCCCCGAGAAACTTTAGCGTAGAACGAATGAAACCACGGGAGGATTCGTTAAAAGTGCTTTAAAGGCAAAAACGGCATCGAAAAAATAACTAGCGAATTCTTAATCGGATTCTCCCGTTTCCCCTGCGGCCCCTTCCCCTGCTCTGTACTTTTAAATGAAGCTACCTCACTTTAATAAAGTTTACTTTTCCCACACGCAACTCGTCTCGGTTCTGAGCGAAATGGGAATATCTCAGGTCCGGGGAAGCGGGCATCGAGGAGAGGAGGAAGACGGGGACGGAGGGAGGAGGAGGAAGGAGAAGCCTCCGTCTGTGCCAAAGCTGCCGAACCGCTCCCCGCGGTGCCGCGGAGGCAGCGGCAGGACCTGGGCCGCTCTCGCCTCGCTGCGCCGGGCGCGGGGACACTGCGGTGACCGAGCCGCAATATTTCATAATGCAGAAGGCAACGAGGCCTCAGGGACCTGAGCAGCATCCTCATCATTAGGAGAACCGTTCCCGGCACGGAAGCAGATCCACTATAGTGAAACATTAACTGGAACGAACTTGGGGTCCGGCAGAGGGGAAATGCGAGTTTCTGAATGTCCAGGAACAGTTCCGTAAAGCTGATCCAAGTCAGCACCAAAAGGAAGGGCGATTTTTTTTTCTCGTAAGAGTCCCGGGATGATCCCTGAAGGGAGGAGGGGATTTTCCAGGCGGCCAGGAACGGGCAAAAAGAGCCCGTGAAGGGCCTGGAGCCTGGGGCAGCCGCGGGCACCCGCAGCTTTGCGCAGAGGGGCAGCGCTTTCTGCTCCTGCGGAGCGGGGCGGGAGGTGGGGGCAGCCCGGATACAGCCCTGACCTTTTTACCTCGAAACGCCTCTGGGATTTCTAAACAAGTAAACAGAGGGGCTGCCAGGAGAAACTATTGTTCTGGCTTCGTCAAATTTGCAAACCTTTTTGGTGGGGGCGTGCGCGGGGCGAGGAAGGAGCCAAGTACCTGCGGCAGCGGCTCCGGCCCCGCAGCCCCGCTCGGCCCGGGCGCAGCCCCCGCCCGGGCCCGCGGAAGCTCCCGGGGCGACAGAGCATCGCTCTTCCCCCAGCGATACCATCTCGCTCTCTGTAATATACTTCTCTGCCTCGAAAGGAAAGATTTGGAGCATCCAATTAGTCCAGAGATAAGAGAAAAATGAGGGGTGGCGCGGGAGGTGAAAAGAAGATTTTGTTACGCTAGCAGTTTTCAAAACGTAGAAAGAATTGCTGGGGCGGGGTGGGGGAGGCAGACGGATTGACTTTAAAACTTGTGAGGGTGAGCGAGCTTCATTTAACCTATTCGTTGAACCAAAGAGTCTGAAGGTTCTGTTGAACTGAGGTGAGTCGGACCGCCTCGCTGGAGCAGGGGTTGATCCCGGGAAGCCCCCGGGTTCCCCCGCCTGACTGCGGACCTCGGTGCTCCCTGCGAAGGGCAGCGCCGGGTGCGGAGGGGCCCGAGCCGGCCCGGGCGGCCGGGGAGCGGAAAGGCGAGGACAAAAAGGGGGTTACTGATGTGTCAGTGTGTCGGGCACAACAAAGGCTCTCGAGGGCCCATTTGAAACTCAAAGGGAGTCTCCGGAAGAGTCCGCAGAGACGGTGCCGCTGCGCCCTTACATATGTAGCCCCCTCCAGGGCTCCCCTCGCCGCTCCCTCTGCCCCCGTGGCTGCCAAGCCGGGGTCTTTCACCGCACAGAGCTCATGTCCCCCCCACCTCCGCCTCTCCCCGAGTTTCTCACGCTCCCTTTTGTCACCAGAGCCCGAAATTCACTGCTGTGAAGCAGGAGCCGGCTGGAAAGGCCAAGCCAGGACAAGCCCAGCTGGGGGTCCCTGCTCCGGGAACAGATGCTCCTGGGAAGCAACCAGGGACGCACGTGGCCGCTCCACACCCGAGAAGCAGCTCGGGAGCGGGGGCTGCTGCATCGCTTCCGAGCAGGTACCTATGGCGCTATACGTGCCGTGCAGGTACCTATGGAGCCAGGCACGCCGTATCGCACCCACCTCACCGAGCACCTCGGAACAGACCGCACCGAAAGAAGCTCACTCATGTCTCTGCACACCTATATACCTACACCTATCTACATCCAGTCCTAACTCGGGCATTATCAGACACTTTCCCAACTCTCAGGTCTGCCTATCCGCCTTTGTTATATATACACACAACGTGGCTATTCGTAATCCTTTGTACTCCCACTTCTGCAAGTCTATCTGTCTGTTCGTCCTTAGTACTGCATTTTTCATGAGCTGGAAAATTAGCCAAGTCCCCCTGTATATTCACACACGAAGCAACGTCTTAATGGAGATTTATTTCTTTAATATCCCAAAGGAAGGGGAAAATCCCAGTTAAAGAAAAGTAACGGTGTAAATTATTAATGGCCGTGCGGGGCTCGGAGGAGGGTCAGGGCTGCCGGGCCCGCCGCGGCTCCGCGCCCGGCGCTGCGGCCTGCCGAGACCGGGGCTCCCGAGCCATCTGTTCCTCACCCCGCGGTGAGAAATGTTGCTCCTCTCCCTAAAGCATTTGTTCTCACAATGTGAGGCCCTTTTGATCTCAGAAGAGGACATTCTATTAAAAAAAAAACAGTACCCTGAACGCTTTCTTACTTTCAACTCCACTTTGCCGGCTGCTATTAACTCTGCTCCCGGAGCCTCCTGCGCTGAAGGTGTGAAGCGCTCTCGGGACAGCAGCTCCCCCAGCAACGACGTGTGGCAGCTTTGGCTGCCCTAGGAGCCTTTGATGTCTTGGAAAAGAAGGTTCGAAGCCTTCCGGGTTTCCCCACACATTTTCACGCCACGAAATTAGAAGGGAACCACCTCTTCCCCGGCCCCGCGCTCAGCAGACCCAGGCAGGATGCAGCAAAGACGTTTCCATTGCCGGCAGCGAGTCAGGACCGAGCCACAGTTTGACCCGACTTCTGCACTTGGCACCCGGGGCTGCCCGGTGCTCACACACCTGCTAAAGCGCTAACGCTTCAAAGGGAGTTAATAGGGTAAAGGGGGAAGGATTTCCATGTCTTATAAAATTTCTCGGTTTTTTTTTCTTTTTCTTTTTCTTTTTCTTTTTCTTTTTCTTTTTTTTTTAAGGACC